TTTCCCGTGAAGTTCCCCAAATGTAAGAAGGAGGCGAAGGCCGTGCGCCACACTCGGAGCCACGTCCAAGAGCGGTAACAAAATCCGCTCACCAGGTTCCCTGTGACAACAGAGACTATCCTGGCGCCTACTTATTTCTATCACTCCTGAATTACTGGATTTCGTTTGTGAAGGATAAAGCCAGAACTACAAGCGTGAGCCAACCATCAGGCAGTCAGCTCCAGCTGCAGCGGGAGGAGCCGAAAGCCCTGCCAGCTGGGGGGTCCCACACCCCGTCCTTACAGCCAGGCTGGGAGGCAAGGAGGGGTTCAGCTCCCCTCCACAGCACCCCCCATGCAGACGTGCTCCTCGATCCCAAGGAAGAGCCACGCCACCGCGCCGCCTCTCCCCTTCCACCACCGGCTGGAAAGCTTCCCCTCCCGTCCACCGCTGGCTCAGAGCTGTACTGCGAGCCCCGGCCCCTCTGGCCCCAGCGGCCGGGATCCCCCAGGCGTGTAGGCTGCTCTTAAGAGGATGGTAAGAAATACTTCCCTGCCTAAAACAGGTTTCAAAGAACTTTCTATCTCCAACAGATGAGTGAAGAGAGGAGCTGAGGAACTTGGCAACACCATGGAGGAAGCATCCTGGCTTCTAGCTGAGGGTCCCAGTCACTACACTGTGCCCTGGAGCCCCTTCAGCAGGTGGCTGGTTTTTCCTTCTGTCCTCTTGTCCTCGCTCCCGTCAGTAGGAGCTGCTTCCTTCCCTTTCCTCCTGGTTATCTGGGCATGCTGACTGTTTTTGGAAGATGCTGCCCACTCCCAGTCACCAGGGATGCTGGGGACCGCAACGCAGAAAACCACCAACCCCCAAAGCGGGGGAGTCCGGTTATTGGGGGAAATGGTCATAGTGCTGAAGGGTTAGTAGGGAAAACCAGCAGCTCCTGGACCTGTGTGAAGCCACCTTTAAGTCTGCGCTCCTGGGAAGCCTGAGCAATGCTCACAGTTTGGATTCATCTGACACAAACCAGATGGGAAGGAATCGGCAAGTGCTGCCACCATAACCGAGGGGGATTCGGCATGGTTCCCTATACCCCTATACCACGTTCCCATCACCTATGTGATGGAAACACAGAGGCCAAACACACGAGCGGCATTTGTTTGGGTGTAAACGAGTCTGAGCTATGGTAACAGGCACGGCCACGGCCACTGTCACCCCTCCAAGTCATCAACCCAAGACATCCACCTTGCTGAGTGCGATGGCAAAGCTCATACCCAAGTGCAGCAGGCTATATGCAAAGGTGGTGGATAGAGCTGGTTAACATACCTTTTCTCTGAAGACCATCAACAAGAACAACGAAATTTCCTGTGACCATTTTCTGCTTTTCAATAGAAACATAAAACTCTAAATGAAAACCTTTTAAAATATTTTTTTTTTTCGTAAAAATCCTGGTTTAACGTAAGCCTCAGGATTTCAAGTAGTATTTTTGGTATAATTTTCCAGACCAGTCTTAATTTTGCCAATTCCTTTAGTAAAAATATTTGCGTTTCCAAGTGTTTGCTTTTTCTCTGTCTTAAAGAGCAGAACATGTGTTGAAAATGTTATTTCTTTGTAAACATTTTCATTTAGGTCCAAAAGCAACCATTACTCTTATCCAGCAGCGGTGATGTATGTAAGAGGAAATATATGTGGGTAGTGAACTCCAAACACGAGCAGATGAGTTTAAGCAGCCGTTTCTTGTATGTCATGAAAGCCATGAAGATGTTTATGTGAAGCTAGCTCACCTCTTGAACTGTCTTCATATCTACACTAGGAGGAAGGTGCTTTTCCAGAGACATAAGTGTGTACAGGCTGCAGTACAAGACCAGGGAGACCTTTTGAAAAAATATTTATTTTCCAAAGAGGAACTTTCAGTCATCCCAAAGCCTTTCCTGAAAGTATTGCTGAATCCGACTCTAATTCATGAAATAGTTTCAGTAGGACAATGAGGGCCAACGCTACACCCACAGCCTCCAGCACACAACCTACAACATTACAGGCTTGGTAGGTGTCTTACTGGCCCAGTGGGAGCTTTGCCATTGATTTCGGTGTGTTTTTCCCCGGTCTTAAGTAATAACCACTGGCTTCTCAATTTAGGGGCAAAGACTCTCCCCTTTCTTATATACTTGATTCTACATTAGACTAATTATGAGAAAAAAGCAAGGATATCCAACAACTATCATCAATATCAGGGCTCAATCCTATAAAAGCTTACTCAAGTCAGCAACCCCATCAGCTTCAATGAGAAGGGCAGCCTTAATTCTCACAGTTGCCACCTCGTAACTGAAGCCCACTCACAAGGAGAAGTAACAGCCCCAACGCCAGCCTGTGCCACTGGAAGCAAACATCCTGGCGATGCATTGGTAACGACATTTTAATAACATTTTTCCTTTATATCTCTTTGTTAAAGCCAATACAGTACTTTCTTACCATTTTTGCAGACAGGACAACACTGTTCTGGTTCATAGACAGGGTTGACACACTCAGGAACTGCGCAGTCTGCTACAACACAGTGAACTTCATTGCTGGGCTCGCAGCGACACCATTCGCATGGCGAGGGCTAGGAACAAATCTAAAATTAGCCCATTTCCTCCCGCAGCTCACAATTTTCCAACATTTCTATCTTGCCGTTAAGATAAACACATCAGCGTTTAATACCTCTTGACTGCATTCATTCACCATGGGTCATACAAATTAACCTATCGGGCAAAACAGCAACATTTGAAATAGGCAACTAGAACATTAGGAAAAAACAGCGAGCATGACACTTGTTTTCCCAGAGAGGGTGCAGGGTTTTCTAGCTTTTGTCAGACTTCAGCTCCTTTCATCAAAAAGGCTGAACTAGGCACTAGGTTGTACTTCTGCTCTCCTCATCTGTTGTTACCTTACACACGTGGCCGGCAGCAGCAAAGCAGGGTTTTTGGAAGACCACGAGTGGTGGTTCCTCCCAGGAAGGGAGGACAGGGTGATTTTCCAGGTCACACTCATAGCTCATGTAGACCACCACTGCCAGCAAACCCCAAGCTGTCGGAAAAGTGGCCTGTCCATCTGCCAGCATCTCGATGTGCTTTCGTTCCCGCGTTTCAGAGTGGAGGAGAATAGCGTTGTTCTAGGAGTGGGAAAAACATTTTATTCCGTGTTTGTGCAGCATCTGCTTCAGGGGTCTGTAAGTGCTCTCGTAACATAACCATTAAATCCGGTCCTGACCCCACTCCTGCCTGTTTCAACAAGGTTTGTGAGCAACTGCCTCACACAGAACATGTAAATAATTAAGAGCTTGAGTAAGTCAGGGAGTTCTGGACTAAAGCACTCAGCTCAATGGTTTCGTTTCAGCCCCATCAATTCCGGCAGGTATCTCTATCTACCTCTAAACAGAGGAGAGTTGTCACTGTCTCACCCTTTGAAAAGCTGTGGAAATCTGATGAAAAATAGAAAGATCAGTATTTTAAGGTTCCCAGCGTCCTTATGTGTGTGCAAGTGTGATGAAAGGATGACAACAGAGCTAAGAAAGGAGAATAAGAAGAGAATTTGAAAGGAAAATAACTTTCTTTCAGTACTTGTAGGTTCAATACCTAACTCCCAATTCCTCAGCAATGGTAGGTCCATCGCTAACACTTGAACGAGTAAATGTAGGTATTGGGAAAAAAATCTGCTTTCTGTTGCATTGGTGGGAATCCGCAGCAACGGAGTTTCTCCACATTAAAAAACCAAAATGTGAGATGCAAAGGAAAGGAGGATTCATCCCCATGTGTCTCAGACCCCAGTGACGTGTCACTCATTTCTACAAGACAGATACAACCTCAGAGCATTGGTTCTGGCAGGTAAAAAGCTCTTCAGTTCACCTCTAAGAAGCTCCATATGCCTTGTGTCAAACAATTTATTCCCAGGAAATTCATTTCTACCTTAAAATGCACTAATTAAAGTTTCCCTTGCTTTGTCTCAGCGTCTGCAGTCTATAATTCCCATCACCTCTCATTTGCTCACAGCTTTGGCAATTTAGATAAAATCAGCACTCCTTGAGTAAGGGAAGAAGTCTGTGGAGGTGGAATTCCTCTCTCTCATTACCTTTCCTCATTCAATCCAGCGTTGATTTCTGTCTGAAGCACCAGGAATCTAAATTCATTTGACTGACATTTCTTATTCAAGGCTATTTAGTAAGAAGAAACAATACAGAAGAAAATAGGCAGCACTATTTGCTGCGGGATCAATAAGAAAATTGCCGCTTTGTTTTTACTCATTTTAATCGCTAATTATATGGAACGGTAGAGCTAGATCTTGTGATTTGTGGAGGCTGTCACTGACATATCCTTCAGGACTTGTCCCCATCTTCACTACTCCAGTGGCTGCAATGCTAAGAAATACGGGACGCATTTCCAGGACTGCAGCCCAATCTACTGCTCAGAGATGATCAGCACAAGTGGAAGATGCCCCTGAACAACTCTGCAGCTGAGGAAATGAGACATGACATACACATCATCTGCTTTTGCGTTGTTGCTGTAACCTGAAAATGATGCTGTAATAAACCCTGATGTTGCCTGACACCGAAAGCAGCTTTTCAGGAGGGAAGAACCGCACACAATTAAAGGAGGAAAGCACACCTCGGCGGTACAGGGAACGAGCAGCCAGCAAATGAAAAGGCTGCTTTGGCACGAATGACATGACTTTTCTCAGCCACCTCCTCTTCCACACCTTATCAAGGTCAAGCTACTTGGTCTTGCCTCTAGGATCTTCCTCCACCTGACCATTTTGTTCACTTGCCAGCATCCCTTACCGCAGTTCTTACCCAGCCCCTCACCTCCATGGGTGACTCCAGCCTTCCTGCCCACTTATTTTATGAATGTCTTGGCAGTTTCTCCCATGGGATGTGCTTCGGGATCTGAAGTGCCAACCCCTGCTCTTTCAGGAAGGACCCTCCCAAGCGCACTGGTTGAGCACCTTTTTACTGCTGTCTGTGGGCTCTGCATCCCAGCTATTAATTTCCCTGGAGCTACCCTTCTTACGGAACAATTACGGGACATTGGCCACAAAAGCTCTCCATTTATTTACATAGGCAGTAGGTAGACCAAGCAGCAAAATGACAAACTGGGAACCAGTGAGGAACAGAGGACCAGTGAAAGACATCCTGAAGTTTTGTTTCCCGATTCCTGATTTAAAGATTTATCCCCCATGGGAGAGGGGTGGTTTACACTTTTGTAGCCACCGAAATTCAAACACCAGCTAACATCAGTGCCTGAAAAGAAACTCTGATCCCTACCGAAAAACAAGGTTGAAAAAATACAGGGGGTTTCTGAAGTATGAAGGAGAGAGGACACAAATCAGAGGCTATGCCATTCCCACATGGACAGTGCACACACTTTATTGGTGTCCCTTAAACTGGTATTCTGGAAAAAGTGTTAAGATGAAAGGATCATAAAAGGCTTTGGGCCAGAAGATGATTTATTTACCCCACCTGTCCAAGGCAGAATAATCTCGTAGAAGACTCTCTAGGGAAGGATTTGTTAGGAAGGATTTCAAGAGATGTTGGTGCAGAAACATTCTTCTCACCACTGTCCAAAAGGAAAGGCCGTTCATGGTGCCCAGCCGTAACACAGACACATACCCACCCGAGAACTGCATGGTTCCTCACTGTTCAAGGTATGTTCTAAGAAATGGACCTATCATTAAAACCAGAGGAACAAACTGAGTCCTTTTGTAGAAGGTATCAGTACAGCATTTTGACTTGGGAAAACTGCTGCAAGCACCTGAAATTCTTTTTACCCAACTTTCACTTACAACAGGGGTGAGAGCACTAACACCCAGAACTAGTGAGGAAATACGTTCTTTGACAGTGCTGTCAGTGCAGGGGCAAAGTCAAGCCAAGTTGGTGAGAAGCAGATGTGGCCAACATCTACACCGTTCAACGGCTTCTGAGAGCAGATAAAGCGGGACACAGAGCACAAAGGACCTTCCTCAGTCTCAGCACTGACCCTGATTCACCCCTCCTTTGTCCAGTCGCTTCAAAGATACCAAAGAAGCACAAGGATGTGGACCTTGAACACTCCTGTTTATAACCACACCCATGATCATGGCCCAACTTCTATTCCTTTTCTGGACTATTGATCTCAAGGAGGACTGTGACCCCAGGTTTGGCTGGGAGGGCAGGTTCATTGCCTGCTTCTGCCAGGGGATGGCCCCATCCCGCACAGCAGGGTGGCCGGAGGAAGGGGACAGCACTCATCCGGTTGCGTGGCTGGAAAACCTTCGTCTCGGGTGCTGTCAAATGGGAAACATCTGCCATCAGCAGAATTTGTTAACAAAGAAAGAAGGAAGGAAAATTAGAACAGAGAATAAAGAATTCGCATGGCTAATAAAGATTTTATGTGCATGAGTACATAATGATAAACTTGATCGATGATATAAACAAATAAACAAACGAAAAAGGCAGCAAAGGAAGCAGAATGAGAAACAAGGTACACCCCGAGCAGAGGAAATGAGGAAGCCAAACCAGATGAGGATCGTGTATCTTCACTCTCGCTCCCCACGCACATGCCAGCTCCCCACCATTTTCACCCTCTCTTTGGAAGCAAACGCCAGCACACGTAGGAATTATGCTGCTAACGTCACCCAGCTACTCCTCACAGAGATACGGGGCTCCCTCTCTTACAGGGTTGGGCAACACATGGGTCCTTCTTCATGTTTCTGTCGCCCCAAACATGCGAAAGGCTTTTCTGTAACACGTAGGTTGCCCTGCAAAAGTTACTACTGAGTGGTAAGTACTCTCCTCGAGCGAAGGGAGGAGGCGCAGCAATATGTGACACGTTACACTGCAGCCCTCCCCTTCCCTGCCTCCAGTAAGGGCTTCTCTGTCTACACGTCTGCTTGTCACTCACTCTTAGCTGCCTCTACACAAACATCTCCAGACAGGTGGAAAGGCAGTGATTTAGCCAAGACAACCGAAAAACTCTGAAGATGACATCTGATTGATACTTTTTCTTTACCTGTTTCTTCTGTCAATCAGAAGCAATAGTCCTCAGAGTTTTTCCTCTACTGTCACATTCACCAAGCTAACCGCGGTTTCCAAGCACACTCATTTCAGTCCTATATGTGGGCTGTCACCCAGCTCAGATTCGGTCTCATACCACGTTTTAAGGCTGTGATTAATCCAGCTGGCTTCACTCAGACTTGGGGTTTGTGGCTCATACCCCTCCGGGAGCTGTGAAAACGGTGCCCATTTTTCAAGCAGCCTTCAGAGAGCAAAGCATTATTTGGCACCTAAGCACTTCAAGAGCCGATGGGTTGTATATCATTAAAACAGACTACACACAGACCTTTTACTTCTTGAGATTTCCCATTCTATGAATTTAGGCTCTGATACTTGATTTCCCCCAGGCATGTTTAGCGCAGCTGCTTCCTGAGACTTTGGACCTCTCCTCTCCTTTTCAAGAAAAGACTTTGAATTGTGTGGTACTTACTTTGTACCTCAGTTTTCAACCTCGTGGAAGAAGGTTTACATCTTTGCTGGAGCCAGCGTACAGGTTGCTCAAAGCTACTGCAAATTCTTGCAATTGCCCTCTAGTCACC